AATTTATTAATACATAGTGACCAACTTTGTATGGTAAATTTAGTTCAGCGTCAATTTTAGGGGGCAAAGTATGCTGTATTGTATACGACTGAAATATCACGGCAGGCTCTCTTCCCTCTTCGATCTAAAGCTAAAGATACATGGCTTTTCGATGCTATCAAGCTTCATCAAAAGTTTTTAGCCTATTTTTGTACTATCGCTTCGTTTTAGTGCTATAAATAAGTCATGTTTTTTTATTAGTAATAAACCTAATAATGACTATCACTAAAAATAAGATTTCGTAGATTTATAACCTTTTTATTTTTTACAGCAACATTATTTTAACTACCTATACACAAGCTAGAACTAAAGGCTCTATGTATATATAGTGGGGAATAGTATGAAGGAATTATTTGGGTGAAGTCAGAAGTTAGATCTTGACAGTGAAACTTGCGAGACCTAATAATTATAATTCAGATGGTTACTTCAAGCCGAATTTATTATCATTCCTTTTTTATCCAGAAGTATTATTTTTTATATTTTGCTTATTAATAGTATAATATCATCTCAATCGCTTCCGTAACATTTAATAGATCTACATTATTTTGACTATTCCGTTTCTAAATATACGCGTTGCTTACTTTTGCATTTGTTTCGGTAATCAAGTTTTAATTTTTTAACTTATTCGTTATCATCTTTCAATGTCCATATAGACCTTTCTGATAAATTTTATTTTGCAGCTTTGGTGCACCGAAAATCTCCAATTCTTGGGTATCCAACGCTCAGTGTCCCATCGGGCAGTAGCGCCTTTACCAACCAATATCAACTGGATAGATTGGAACTGGTTTGGTGGCGAATTTGTTATGGCTTCTCCAACTCCGAGAAGCCTGAATTCTGATGAGGTCGCTTGTGCAGTTGAAAACGCAATGTTGGCTCAGCTTAATATCGAAAAGTCCAGACTGCAAGAGAAGTTCATCTTTACAGAAGAGAAGCAACAGTGAGTATGGCTTAGTTTCTGTCAAAGTTAAAACATTTCCTAGATTTTTTAGATATAACTTTTGATACATCTTCATATGGCTGCTGGATATCCCCATATCTTTAGAAAGTTTGGCTTTAAAAACCAAATTT